CAAGTAAGTTTTGGATTTAAGACTGTTCATTGTTATTTTGTGGGGAAGGGTTGGGGGTTGAGAATGTTTCTTTTTCATTTTGTAACTTTCATTGCTATTTGACTAGTCAGCTCATACATATGTATTTCAACTGATGTTTGTTGAGTACATTAATTAATTGCAGGCCACTTAGGAATCAATGCACTACATTAAAATGACAGACGCTTTTTTCTTTCTTATTTGTATTATGAAAACCTAATTATAATACAAAATAAATAAGATAAAACCTAGTGTCATGTCAGAGAATAATGCCTAGGAATTCTTCAGCATCCAAGTTATTTTTAGTTTTTACTGATTCCTGGCAGAACCCTCAGTAAAAGTGCTAAACCTACTTTCTTCCCACTATAATCAGGAAGTTCATGTTCAATTGTTATTTCTTGAACTTAAAATTTCAACACTGTCAATTTTATTGGAGTTTAACACATACTGGTTTTTGTCCTCTAATTTTTGATGATCCCATTCCTAAAAAGTGTGCTTTGCATATAAAGAGCAGTCTTTGTCTTCCTGCATGTGAGATTTTTACTGGAAAAGCAAACTGGCTAGACGGATTCTTACAAAGTTATGGGAAGACTGAAGAACAATCTGATATAGGTCTCCACCATTATCTTAGCTCTTCCCTCCTTAGTTTATTTGGCTTGCAGAGGTTGGGAGAAGTTGCTTTAGAGGCATTTGGCTTTCTTTACCCTCATTCTCCCCCACCCCAATAAAAGGCCTTTATTATAGTAACACAGTTCTATATTTAACTAAAAAGTATTACAATAAGAGCAGCAACAAAAAAAATCAGGGCTAAGGGCTAGGAGGTAGAAGACATATAAGCAAATTCCTGTCATTTAAGTGAACTTTCAGATTGAGTTAATTCTACATTTAATTTACTTATAAAGGCTACATTTTATCTGTGGCAGTAGATGCAGACACCCACTCCTCTTGAAAAAAATATTAGAAAGTGTGAGTTATTCAAAGTTAGCCATATTTCAATGGTTGTCAATTCAGCATAGAGAAATACATCAGAAATATTTTCTTTCTTCAGTGAAGGTATTACCAGTGCTTTGTGCAGTCTTCCCAAAAGTATTCCCATTCACCACACAATTACACCCCAGAGGCTGAAGGGGAATAACCAAGCTTTAGCTGCCCTTCCTGCCCCCACCCCTGTATCCTGTTGCCCAAGACTATCTACCTCCTACTGTTTCCTTTTTGCATTCAGACTCTTAAAAAACAAACAAGTCAATGGGTTAACATAGGGAACCCTTTTTTTGGGTACTGATATTTATAGTTAAATAAAAGATTTAGGGTTAATGTATCAAAGGATTCTATTTGCAGAATAGAATCCTTTCTATGCTCAGAATAAAGTAGGGAATAAAGTATGCTTCCATCAACTTTATTTAAATGATGATAATTTAGAAAATTCTATGATAGGAATAATTAATTAGTCATTGAGAATCTTAACTAAATAGTTTTAATATGAAGACTGGAGGGGAAAGGACAGGCTGGAAGAGAAGGTTAAAATTGCTCCAACGTCAATGAATTGCTACTACCTGTACTTCCCCTCAATCTGACTTAAAAGATAAACTTCCTTTAAAAGGTTAGATTGGACTGAAGTAGAACCATGCCAATAAAACAACAGAATTCACTCTGAGAAAATTAACAGAAATAATCCCAGATATTTTCAAACACATAAATTATAAGAAATTCTCAATGTTCAACTTTGCTGAAAATATTAAGGCCTCTATTAAAATGCCCCTTCTGAGCCTGCTGCAGTCTTTTGCAAATACTTAACAGATGAAAATCTAATGGCTTCAGATAAAGAACATGTGAGAAAAGAGAAGCACAAAAGCAATACACGTTATTAAATATTTACTTGGAATAAAGTACATGTCAGTCACTTCCCACCCCCCTATCCGCCCAGGTCTTAAAACCACCTGTTTCTCTTACAAAGATTATAATTAGATTGTTGCTTTACTTTAACCTTGAGAATTTTATTTTGGAAAACTCAGGTATATAAGGTCACTCTTGAGGAAAAATGCAGAAAGCTGACAGTTGGGAAAAGGATTAGGAGGAGCAGACAAAGTTTTTTTGGCAAAGAACATTGGTAGAGAAGGCAGTAAAGTGAGAAAAGTATACTAAGGTATGCTAAGTATGCTTTAAGAGGGAAAGACTTAGTGAAGTTTATAGGGACTATCCAAAGCAGCAGCCCCCAACCGTTTTAGCGCCAGGGACAGATTTGTGGAAGACAGTTTTTCCATGGACGGGGTGCAGGGGATGGTTTCAGGATGATTCAAGCACATTACATTCAAGCTCAGCTCCTGCTGTGCAGCCCTAAGAAATACCAGTCTGCTTGTGGAGACTGGGCACGACTGATGCAAAGCATCTTTAAAAAAATCTCATCACCTAATATATTAAGTCAAAAAGAGCCTTAAATGTTTAATTGGAGAAAAAACCCCCCCGAAAGTAAGTTCCTCTTAGAATATACATTCTCTGCATCAGACAAGGGTGATAGGCCCTAGCAAGGCAGCTCAGTTGGTTAGAACATTCTCCTGATCCACCAAGGTTGTGGGTTTGATCCCAGGTCAGAGCACATACAAGAATCAGCCAATGAATGGGTAAATAAATGGAACAATAAATTGATGTTTCTCTCTTAAAAAGACAAGTGAGCCCTGGCTGGTGTGGCTCAGTGGATTGAGTGCCAGCTTTGCGAACCAAAGGGTCATAGATTAGATTCCCAATCAGGACGCATGCCTAGGTTGCAGGCCGGGTCCCCAGTAGAGGGCATGTAAGAGGCAACCACACACTGATGTTTCTCTCCCCCTCCCTTTCCCTTCTCTAAAAATAAATAAATAAATAAAATCTTAAAAAAAATAAAGGACAAGGGTGATAAGTGGGTAGAAGGATCCTGGAGTGCCATGAAAGCAAAGCATTTAAGTCTACAATATCCAAATTTTTCCTCAGTACCTATTTATCATACTGTTCATTACCTTAAGCACACTAAAATATTTTTAAGGGCTTTCATAGAGAGACAATCCTCCTTAAGCCTATTCTCTCCATGCTTTCAAATTCTGAAAGAAAATAAACCTGTCACTTTAGAGATCAGTTTTCTTTTATATTATCTTGCAATGCTTGCTACTATTTATCAGTTAAAATTCAGTTTTCAATGCTTATATGTTGGGAGTTAATAGAGGTCTCAGTGGCATGCCTTCTAGTAAATGGGATAATGGAACAGAAAACTGTGTCTTACACTCTACTACAAGCAAGTACTATAATAATAGTGCTTCAGGATGGCTGATGCAATTTGTTGCTATGGTCAATATTTTGGTATTAAAACTGTGGCAACAAGAAGACTGACAAACTCAGGTAAACTTTAGTTGCTTTAGTGAGTTTGTGGAATTGTGATTTATAAAGATGGAGAGGGCTAGGTGTATAAAGAACTGAAAAATATAAAGAACTTCCTGGACTAAATCAGATCCTGCAGGAAATAAAATGTATTAGTTTATTTGTTTATCTTTTAAGCAACTGGAAAATACTGACAAGATAGTAATATGAATTTGAAGTCCATTTTAAATAATCATTGCAGTTTAATATTTGCTAACTTTGCTTCTTCCTCTAACATTCTTGTTTGCTCCTTTTGGGAATCTGAACTTGTATTCTTGGTTTAGAGAATAAAGGAGTGGTAGGAAGAAGGAAGGCAATGTAGGAGGTTGAAAATTGTCTGTTTTATATAATTTTGGAGCTGGAAAGGGAAATTAGAGGTCAAAGTGGTTCAAACGTTGATTTTAGAACAGGAAACAGTAGTAAAGGATAATTAAGCTCCACAGGTAAGTCCTAAAAAGTGGGTGGGGTCAATGCAAATTCAGCAAGTAAATCATTAAACAGTTTGAAGCAACCTTTGTTCCTCGGTTGAGAATGCCAGCAGTGCTCAATTTTTTCTGGTAGACAGATTTCTAAAAATTATCCTTAAGAGTCAGCTAGTTTAATGGAACTCTGTATCAGGTTTATGGAGACAAAGGGCACAGCCCTACAGCCTCTGTGCGAAATCCAGGAAGACTCTTCACCTCTCCATTTTAGGTTACTTTTAAGCGCTTTACTGGAGGAAAAATTGAAAAAATAAAACGCTCTTATTTTCTCAAAGAAAGCAATATGACTGCAGAAGCCAAATCTACATTCAAAAATTTAAACTATGTATAGGATAACCTGGTGGTTACCAAATTGTACTCAACTCCTTTCTTCACCTACTTATCTTTTCTCCCAGCTCAATTCCGGTGCCAGCCAGGATCAGTACACACCCCCAGGGCTATTTCATTCCATTGGCTGGCGGGCCATCCAGCGGTCAAAACCCTTCAGATTTACTGTCAGGGCGCCCGGTGTTTGTCAGAGATGTTACTCTGCTCACATACTACTTTTACAAAACAAAAGCTGTCAGCGTAGAAATAGAACTTAATTTAAAAGACCCAAGTGTAATACTAAATTCAATTGGTGAATAAAACTGTCTATATTTTAAATCTAGAAGGCAATTCATTTTGTATGTTACTGCATCACCTGTCACTGATGTAAAGAGTAAAAGTCATAAAATAATTATTTCATAATCTGTATTCAAGTGAGTCACAGAAGCCCACAAAAACTTGCAGGAGGCACAATCTGATGGTCCAGTCATTATCTTTTCTAGAAGCGCATTTTGTCAGGACCCACCATGTGTCACATACACTAAGATCAAAAGAGCAGGGTAGTACTACTCTGCGCATAGCATCAATATAGGTACGAGCACAGGGGAGAGGGATAGGACCAACTCTGTGGTGGGTTAAGACGGAAAAATCACTACCCACCCGAGCCAGACACATCTGAGGTGAGGGTTGGGAGGAAGAACATGGGGGAAGGGCCAGCGCCCGCCCGGGTTGGGCGCAGCAGGGGTCCCCCGGGGCAAGCAAGAGGCTGGGCCGCGGGGAACGGCGCCAGGAACTCGGGTCGGCTCTCACCTCCCTTGCAGGGTGTGCGGTGCTGGCTGTGTTGGGCTCGGTAGCCTTCGATGACCTCCCAGGAGCCGTTGTCGCGCCGGATGGGGAAGGACAAGCTCAGCACATGGTTGCAGGGCTTGATGATCCGCAGGATGCCGCGCACCCGGTTCCGCTTCTGCTCCTCACTCTCCCGGGTCTTGAGGTCCTCCACCAGCTTGTCCTCCACGATGCTGGCACCGCGGTCGAAGAAGCCCTCCACCATCTTGAAGAAGTTGGGGTCGTCTTCGTGGTCAGCCGCTGCTTCACTGTAGTGTCGTCTGGAGGGCAGCGCGAGCCCCGGCTGCGGAGCGGCGGCGGCGGCGGCGGGCTGCCCGCGGGCCCGGCCCAGCAGCGCAGCGGAGTCGGCTGCCGCTGAGCCCAGGGCTGCGGGCCCGACACGAGAAAGCAAAAGCGCTTCGCCCAGGCAGCGGTACATGGCGGCGGGGCGGAGACCGCAAAGGATAGGAGATGTGCGAAGCTCCAGGACCGGGGAAGGGAAGAAGGGCCCGGAGCGGACTGCTCTTTTAAGCCGCAGCTTCCTGCCTTCCTAGCTGTCCCCTCCCCTTTCGCGCTCTACGCCTAACCCGGAGGACGGACTTCGGGGCCGGTGGCCAACGTCGCCTGTGAATGGCAGAGCTGGGGGCGCTCGCCGCCCTGGGAGCCGGACCTCCGCCTCCGCCTCCGCCTCCGCCTCCGCCTCCGCCTCCGCCTCCGCCTCCGCCTCCGCCTCCGCCTCCGCCACGGCCTCGCCCGGTCTTTCAGACGGCGGCGCATGCTGGCGGGGGCGCGCGAGGCAGTAGGGGACGCGCAGGCGCGGGCGCCCGGCGCGCAGGCTCACGAGAACACGGGGCGGGGCTAGGGTCCCCGCTGGCGGCTTGGATCTGCAAGAGGCGACGTCTCAGGTCTGTGCGTGGCCCGCGCTTGGAGGGGTGGAGGGTGGCTTGAGGGGGGCTTGAGGGGCACTTTTTTGGGGGGAGGGGGCCCGTCCGGAAAGGGGGCGCTATGGCCTCTGGAGGGCGCTGAGAGGCCGGTGTGTGGACTTCGCCTGGGTGAGGGTGGTGCTGTCTGGCGGCTGGCCGGGGTGAGTCAGGGGTGTCCCTCCTTTCCGCCCTTGGGCGGGGCGGGGCGGGGCAGTCATTTTGTCAATCTCTGGGCCTGTCCTGGGGCGGTCCTGAGGGAAGACTTAGAAGCCGCGATTGAAGGCCTAGCCAAGGGCTTGGCTTCCCTGTTTGCACGGAGACTGTCAAGAATTTAAGGTCATCCGCAGCTGAATTTTCGAGGTGGCTTGCAGAAACTGGAAAGGAGAAAGCCTGGAACCTGGGGGAATCCCTTACCGGCTGGCTTTTCCCACTTTTTACTTTTGTTCCCTTTAACCCCTCAACGATGGTGAGATAAAATAGTTATGTAAATAACTTGTAGTTTTCTAAAACTTACTGACTGTACTTCCTCTTTTAAGTGTGGGGGAAAAGGGTGCTGTGATAAATAAATCATGAATTCCTAATTGGGCTGGTTATGGTGGGAATACAGTTTCTTTAGTAAAAGGTTTATCTTTGCTTTAAGCAAGACCTGTTCTTTGTTTCTGTGCATCTAGGTTAACACACCTTTGAAATACCCACTTTCAGACCCCTTCTTATAAAAGGTGACCGCCATCTAGGGGGCGCTTAATCTTAACTGTCCTGTAATCTGATCTATGTCTTGCTTTCTTCTACTTTCAAATAATCTTCGTCCTGGGCCCTCTTTAATTCCAAATCAGTAAACAAAACTGCAAAACTTATTCCGGTTGGGACGTCTCTGGGTCACACATTAAATACAGAAACACTAACGAAAACTGATGAGCAAAAAAAAAGATTTTAAGTAAGCATATAATTTTGTGTTGAGCTGCATTCATACCCATCCTGGCCGCGGGTACCTGACAATGTCGTCATTTTTGGTTCAAATGAACTCATGAAAATTCTCTACAGGTTTCGATGTTTAGTACATCGACAGAAATATGTTTTTGAAATAGCCTAAAAACAAAGACACTCCAGGAAATTCTTTCTCAGCAATGTATATACTAAACGGTCCAGAATAGGATTTGTAAACTTTAAGCTACATGAAGTTTAGTTATGTACTTATGCATACATGATGAGAAAAGCTCCCATAGGTAAATTTGCTGCTTGTAAAAGTATAACGTCTGTTTTTAAGACAGCTACCAAAGGCCACATACTAACTTTAGTGATCCCATTGTATTTTGGTGGTTTTAAAAGCCACCTTTTTGATCTGCAAAACTATTTGATTTGTTTTCTGATATTCACTTTATCTCTTAGAATATGAAAGAGAATGTTAAGTCTCACAGTAGTCTGCAAAGTGTAAGGTGACAGCCTGGACCAGTTAAATTACATTCATCAGTGTACTCTCAAAACAAAAAAGATACAACTGATAATTTTACTTTATTTGCTAGCTAGAAGATAGTTACAATTTGTATTGTGTTTTCTAGCGAAAAATATTCTCTGAGCTGAATCCTGAATTTGCCTTGTTCATCAAAAGATTAAATTACCAAATTTCCTTTTCATTTGATAGTATTAACATTGCAACTTCCCCTTCCCCCAAAACCTTAATGTTCCAGAATAGAGTGATTAGAATCAGTAAACATGTGGACATGTTTTTGTCTCTCCAGATGAAATTCTGTGGTATGTTTTGAGGAAAGTGGTTTAGAAACTCAGTTTTATTGCCCTTATCTTTTTCTTGATAAGCATTGCCTTCAATAAATGTTTAACTTTGCTTTGTCCAAGTCTTGTTCACTCAAATTCAAGAAGGTGGAAAGGTTATGGAAGGAGTGAGGAAATTATTTTTAATTGGAAGTCTCCTATGTGTAGATATCTTACAAAATGGCTCCACAGGAACCTTATAAAGTACATGTTTTTAGTTTTAAAATATTCATTATATTTTAAAATTATATACATGTATGAGCCCTGGCTGGCATAGCTCAGTGAATTGAGCATGGGCCTGCAAACCAAAGGGTCACCAGTTTGATTCCCAGTCAGGGCACATGCCTGGGTTGCAGGCCAAGTCCCCAGTAAGGGGGCCCATGAGAGGCAACCACACATCGATGTTTCTCTCCCTCTCTTTCTCCCTCCCTTCCCCTTTCTCTAAAAGTAAATAAAGAAATGAAATCTTTATATATATTTATAAATTATATACATGTATGAAATTTCAAACAGTACAGGTAGGTTTTTTAAAAAGTGACATTGTCCCCTACCTCTTTTTTGTAAGTAATTGGAGTGTTTTTTTTTTCACCCTGAAGTAGATAGTATTCTAATTCCCGATGTAACACAAGAGGGGGGGGGGGGTCACAAAGACCAAGTAAAATGATGATCACCTAGCTGGTAAACAGCAGGCTAAGATTCAAACCCATGTATTTAACTCCAAAGTTATGCTATTTTTACTATTTCAATAAATATTTAAAGTAGTTGTTGCATTTAGTTTAAAATTATTTACTGTGGTGTAAAGTCCAGTGAGTTTTACCTTTACATTGATGATTGCCTTTATAAAATATACAGATATTTTGCAAACTAAAGTTTAATTATTGGTAGTAATTTCCAGTTCAGAAGGATGCTAGAACTTAACTTGGAGTGAATTGTTGGCCATTTGATAGGATTCAACAGACAAATCAATTTTCTGCCTTTGTGGTTTATGAGTTTTCCTTAGCTGTTTTAAAATTCTAGGTCTTTCCTCCTTGATCCATGGCATGCTTTTGTGCTTCCAAGTGCTTTTAAAGATATTTTAGAAGAAGAATTTTAGTATATAGAAAGATATAATATAAATACATGAACAATGTAGCTGTTTTTAAAAATAATTTAATTTGGCCCTGGCTGGTACAGCCCAGTGGACTGAGTGCTGGCCTGTGAACCAAAGGGTCGAGATTTAATTCCCAGTTAGGGCACAAGCCTGGGTTGCAGGCCAGGTTCCCAGTAGGGGGCATATGAGAGGCAACCACACATTGATGTTTCCCTCCTTTTCTCCCTTCCTTCCCCACTGTCTAAAAATAAATAAATAAAATGTTAAAAAAAATTTTTAATTTGGGAAACTAACCCATACTTTGTCTCTTGAGGATTGTGTATGGTGGACAGTTCATTTAAATAGAATCATACATGGTGGTCCTTTGTGACTGGCTTATTTCACCTACATAATGTTTTAAAACTTCATCCATGTTATACCATGTGTCAGTATTTCATTTCTTTTCATGGCTGAGGAATATTCATTGTATGGCTCTATCATTTTTTCAATTAATTCATCATTGATGGACATTTGGGTTATTTCTGCTTTTTGGCTATGTGAATAATACTGTTATGAACATGCTTGTACAAGTTTTTGTTTAGATGTAGGTTTTAAATTCTTTTGAGTATATACCTAGGAGTGGAATTGCTAGGTTATACGGTAACCTGTGTTTAACCTTTTGAGGAACTGCCAAACTGTTTTCCACAGCAGCTGCAGCACCATTTTAATTCTTACCAGCAGTGTATGAGGCTTCCAATTTCATCACATCCTCCTCAACCCTCGTTGTTATCTGGTGTGAAATTGTAGCTCATTATGATTTAAATTTTTTTTTATTTTAATTGTTGTTCAAGTACAGTTTTCTGCCTTTTACCCCCAACCCACCCCCCCAGCCCTCCCCACCTCCCTCCTGTTTTCACCCCCCCTTGTTTTGGTCCATGTGTCCTTTATACTTGTTCCTGCAAACCCTTCCCCTTTTCCCCATGAAATTCCCTCTTCTCTCCCCTCGTTATGGTTTTGATTTGCATTTCCTGAATGACTAATGATGATGAGCAGCTTTACCTGCGTCATTGATTATTTGTATGTCTTTTTTAAAAAAAAGATTTCGTTTATTTACTTTTAGAGAGGGGGCAAAGGAAGGAGAAAGAGAGGGACAGAAACATTGATGTGAGAGAGAAACATCAATAGGTTGCCTCTCACATGTACCTGGACCATGGACCACCTGCCACCCAGGCATGTGCCCTGACCAGGAATGGAACCCTGACCTTTCACTTTTCAGAACAATCTCCAGCCAACTGAGCCACACCAGTCAGGAATGTATATCTTTTTCTGAGAATGTCTATTCACATCTTTTCCCCATTTTTAAAGTAGATTATTTGTCTTTTTATTGTTGAACTATAAGAGTTCTTTGTACAATATAATCTAGGTATAAATCCCTTATCAATACATGATTTGCAAGTGTTTTCTTTCAACTTTTTTGATGGTGTCTGTAGCATCCAGCAAACTCGAGAACAAATATCGGAGACTTTCAGGGTATCAAAGATGTTACTTTATTGGCCAAGTTTAACCTGCGCAGGGGCGAACTCTCAAAGTGTCCAGCGACACAGTGCCCACAAGGAGCTGCAAACGAGAGCCGAGCCGCGCCGAGCGCTTACAACTACGTTCTTTTATATGGGCGGGCAAGCAAGCGTTATACAGAAGCAGACGTGGCAGTTAGTAATTCGCTTACAAAGACCGTGCGCGGGAATTTCAAACCAAGCATTCTTTCATAAGGTGGGAAGGCAGGATGTTTGTTCATTAACCTAGTAATCTCCTGGCTCTAGCTAGCTAGTTTTCTATTTTCTCGTTAAAAACTACAAAGCACTGCTTATCTAGCCTACCCAGGGGAGAGCGTCTGCCAGACACAGGATGTTTGCTTTAACTGTACTTTGTCTCTTTTATCATTTCTTTTTAGCTACAATGTGGTTCTTGTCTATTAAGGTTAAATTTAGTTCTTAATTTCCTTGTTCCCAACAGTGTCCAATTTGTAAAGATTTTCTTTTGTTACTTGTGCTTTTGGTGTCATGTCTAAGGAATCATTGTCTAATCATGAAGGCATGAAGATTTCCACTGATGGTTTCTTCTGAGAATTTTATAATTTTAGCTTTTACATGTTGGTCTTTGAACCATTTTGAGGTTTTTTTTTTTTTTTTTTTTTGTATATGCAGTGAGTAAAGAGTTCAATTGAACTCATTTGCATGTATCTATTCATTTGTTCCAGCACCATGTGTTCAAAAGACTATTTCTTTTCCACTGAATTGTCTTTGCACTCTGTCAAAAATCAATTGATCAGCCCTGGCTGGTGTGGCTCGGTGGATTGAGCATGGGACTGCAAACCAAAGGGTCGCTGGTTGATTCCCAGTCAGGGCACATGCTTGGGTTGTGGGCCAGGTCCCCAGTAGGGGACATGTGAGAAGCAACCACACATTGATGTTTTTCTCTTTCTCCTTCCCTTCCCTTCTCTGTAAAAATAAATACATAAAATCTGAAAAAAAATCAACTGATCAAAATGTGAGGGTTTATTTTGGACTCCTCAGTTCTTTTCCACTTGCCCATATATCTATCCCTTATGCAGTAAGCTTTGAAATTGGAAA